TGATATTATATAGGAGATAGATAGGGGATTTTTTAACAGTTCGTTGTATCCGTTTGTTCGCTATATCCGTGTTCATTATATCCGTGTTCTACTGTAATGGCTGATTATGCATGTTATGACATTCAGATAACAAAGTAATTAAATTACTCTCATAAAACATTAACTCTTTCAACACCAGTCAACCAGAAGCGTTTACTGCTGTGACACAGAGTTCCCAGAGACTTTTGTGTGATAGATGAAGCCTACATTTATCAAAGAAAAGATCTGCTTGTATGACATCTTTGCTTCCACATATCTTACACCATTTCAAGGTCTAAACCTATTGTTTATAAAAATGAAAGTTATGTTTATCATATTATTTAAATAATGCATTTTCAACTTAATTAAGTTTGTTGTAAATAAAAAAAATGTAAGCTTACACATTCATAACGTCAGGATTAAGGACCAAGGAAGCAAAAAATTGACGATTTTCACAAATATAAGATTTAATAAAATCCACTTACCTATTTCTTTTTTATTTTCATTCTTTACGTATTTGGAAAATTATTTTAAAAAGAATTATAAATAGTATCTGTCATCTCCCATTTTCTGATAACAGCGACTGTCCACTCAGTAACATGAAGAAATACCTCCGTTTTCGCAGCTTTGTATGAATAACACGTTCTTTGAAGACTGCCATGTGACACATCGCTAGAAAGCTTGGATAAAATTGGTTTCTAATGACGCTTTCTTACCAAAATCTTCTACAAGGTTCGTAATTGGTCAAATCTGAGCATGTGACCTAAGTCAGCCAATCAAATTGCACCTATGGTACCGTCCTCGTGTATGATGGATTTCAGAATTTGACAAAAGATTTTGATTAAATCATGTTATTCTGAATGTTTAAAGCAGGAAATTGCAATCTATATTAAAAATATGGAACTTCCTGGGTGTATCGTGCTAGGTTACAAGCTGTGACAAGGATTGTTCCTGCATATATTTGTCTTGCATTAAACATTGTGTCTGAGCCGAGAAATTGAGGCGACGAAAGCCGAGGTGTGATTTGACTTACATTACATGCAATTGCGTGAAAAGACAGAAATAATAACTTAGATGTAGATCTAAGTTTGACAATTTTAATATATATTTTTGTTGATTTCATTTATTACTTTGTATATTATATTTAAAGATTTGCTTGAAACATCTTTATATATTGCTCTTTGACATGTTCGATGTGGACCAATTGTCGAAGCGTGTGTCCAAGATTTTTCAATAACATTGCGGGAAATAGTGAATCATTTTTTAATTTATCAATAAAAAATGATAAATTGAAATGGAATACATATTTCAGACATTGTGAAATGTGATAAACGAATGATATGATAGGTAGGTTCATAAAATAATATACTTTTTTGACTTGACTACGACTTGGTCGGTCAACCGGCCTATGGGGACTCAAGGATTGAATGTCATCTAAAAAAACCGAAACGACCTTGGGTCAATTGAATAAATTATCGATAACATAGTTTTTACGGCATTTGATTGGTCTCTTGAAAATAGACATACGTCATTTGCATCATATTAATCTCCATGCTATATGTTCATTGGTCAAAAAGAGCTCGGAGAAGTCTGCGTTCACCAAAGTTGAACAGAAAAAAAGGAAGTAAAAAGTTTTCCTGGGAAACGTGAATGGGGAGGTAACTCTTAACTAGAGGTAAACAAATATAGAAAAATCTTCGAAATCGAAAGTTATCACAGTGAATTTAGGTACCTCGCAACCGATTTTAAAACGTGAAAAAGCAAGACGAAAAAAATATCGTCTTTATTTCTTATTTCGATTTCTAGACGAAAAATCATATATAAAGACGGATTTTGCGTATTTGAGCCCTTAATTTCGAATCCTGTATTGAGGTAAAACAAAATCACAATCTTTTTTTTCTGAAACTGCTTATATGTCTCTGAAAGGGACTAAAAAAGTCATTTCACTTTGACAACTCATGTAAAGACAAAAAAACGATGCTGGGCAGAATTTGAATTTATCTTGTTCATTAGAATATACCATGATATGCATACAAATCTGTTAGAGGCCTGTCTGGGTTCATCCTCAATCCAATCAAACACCTGTGCACTTGAAGTATTCCAAGAAAATGAGGAAAGTTTTTAGTTATGTCCTGTGGTAATCAGAATATGGCAAACAAGTTACTTTTCTTTTGAGTATACTTGTGTATGTAGATCCACTGAGAAATATAACAGGAACTTTTTCTTGTTATCAAGCCTGAAGGCAAGAACAATGATTACAATTGTCCCCTTGGGCCTGCCAAGATATGTGCGTACACACAAGGATTCTCAAGGAGATGAGTTGACTGAAATAGCCTGTACCATATAAGTATGTCCAGTGTGAGTGACACAGACTGACCACTGGATAACCCTTCACCTGTCAGGTAGGCACCTCACCTGAGTTGTCCACCTCAACACTACCAGCTTGCCAGCCTCAACACACCTTGTCAGCAATGTTGCATAGTTGGGGGCTAAAATAAGCCTGTCTCTGTCTCGGATCGCCATTTCATGGTGAGGTCAGGTCACATTGGCATTACTTGTGTCACTGTCCATATTGTTTGAAACAGGAAATTTGTCATAGAATATTCCTTTCTGAAAATTTTGTGAGATTATGAAGTTTTGGGGCGATTTTGTGTGGTCTCAAACATTTTTTATTTTTTTGTGATGTGCAGTGATTATAGCTTTCTGTTTATAAGTGTTGGCGAAAAATACAAATAGATAATTTTGAAAAGATTGTTTGCTTAATCATAGCAGTTTAGGTTAACATGGTTAAATGAAATGTGTTTTTTTTGTTCTTTTTCTCAAATGACAAGTTTTATGTTTCATCAATTTCATGTGTATCTCGTGATCAGCTGTTATTCAAATCCTTAAAAGCACAGTGGGCAAAGTGTATGTATGGAATGCAAAAGACCTATGTTTTATCCAACAACAGTACAGTTGTTGTTTGGCAATATTTTCTGAATATAGATAAAGAAGTGTTAAAGCAGGACTGACTAGCAAGTTTGAGTAAGTCATTCAAACTCCACTTTCTTGCTAATTCAAGTTTTGTTTCAGTTAATGATCCACACCCTCTTATAGTCTGTGCCAAACACTTTTGAGTCGACCAGCCCATATATGGCTGTCAACATCATTTTCAGATTATTGTTTTCATATGGACTATTATCTGTCTATGTCAAATATCTTTAAGTTAACTAAACTGAAACTGTATTTTGGCATTAATTTCAGTTGATTTTAGTCCAGTGTTAGCTGATCTCACTAAGCCAGAAGAATGTTCATAGACTTATGTTGAGACTAATGGCTAATATGAAAGACTTTCCTAGTTTCACATAGACATAAGGCACAGAGTCCATATTTGTAAAAATGTGTAAAATATCCAGGTTTTTTGTTAACAAAACCTGGGTGCTGGTTCTCAGTTTCTCATTCACTTACATGATTCATGTGCATAATTATAGTTAGCGAAATATGAAGACACATTTCTGCCCATTTTGTACAAGTTGATGATGACAAGATTTTTTATGCATTGATTATTATTTGACTATAATCTATAAAAACAAGTGTTTTCAGAAAACATTGAAATAAAACTCAGTAAGGCATCATTATATCTAAATCAATCTCTCCTTACTTCAAGACAGTTTTCCCTGGAAAAGGAAACAAATGAGAAACACCCAGTTCAAAATTGTGCCTTAACCACCAAATAATGCTCATTAAATCATAAAGCTTAAAACATCCCCTAATTCCATTCCCTGGCTCTTTCAAGTGCAGGCATTAACCATTGAAAGAAGTTCATCCCCCTTTCCCTGGTCATTGGCATGTCAAAAAGAATTGACCAGTAGTATCCCACATGGTGTTGTGTTTCGGAGAGGCATGTTCAAGGCCTTGAGGGACCTCAATAGGGGTCAGTCTGACTCAATAGGGCCAGAGTGACCCCGGTCCTTCCATCTGCGGACAGCGGAAATAGTGGCTGGAGTTTTCTGGGAGGACAATGAGTTTTTTGGCCATGTCATTGTTGTTGAAATTATAGAATAGTGCATGTCCAGCTGCTAAGATGTTGGGGAAAGTTTTTGATTGGTCAGTATTGGGGTCTGTCAGAAATCGAAGGAAATTGTGTCCTGATGTCCGGTTTCATGGTTGCCATATTTGGTTATGGTTCCTGACAGCTGTGAATTAGGTCAGTTAAAGATTATTTCAATGACTTGATATCATGGGAAGAAACTGTTTTAGATCTATTTTGTGTAAAGTAAATATGTTTATACAACCCTGAGATATTAGTTGAAGATATCTTGTTCTTAGTTGAAGATGTAAGCTGGCAACTTAAAAAACTTTTGGGTAGATGTTTTGATATTTTCTATAAAAAAATATTCCTGCCATTTCAAATAGTACATTTTATGGGTTCATGTGGTCATGGTGTTCAAGAAGTTTAAATTTTTCGCTTTGGAAAAGAATCATTTGTTTGGAAGAGTTGTATTTTTTTATGTTTTTAATATTTGTTATATATTTGATTGCATTTGACGTTACATTTAAACAAGAACCAAGAAAAAAGAGTTTAAAAAAAAGATAATACTTATTTTGTGTAATATGTTTTATTGTAAAATCAAGGAAGACAAGTAAACTTCCAATTAAGTTACATAATTTTGCATCAACTATCATTATCATCATAATGGGGCAAGGAACCATTCCTTCAAACAGCTTACAAGGTTTTAATCTGTTTCCACATAAACAATACCAGGTAAGAAAAACAAGGCATCAATAGCTATCACCAGCACAACGTTGGGTCATTTTATTGCCTTGTTGGTATCTAATGCCTCATTCTAATAGGTGCTAGCCGCTACACCCCATTCAATGATTCACAGTTGGGGCTCACCATTCAACGATAGCCAGCGAACCAGTCTTGCCTCAAGCCATCTGGGCAGGTCGGAGGTCAGTGACGTAGCGTGGGTTATGTAACTTTTTTCCTTGCTTCACAGGCCGAGGCCATCAGCCATTGCTGATCTGGGACGCTTGGCTTGAAGCTTGTTCATGGGAAAGGACTTGGAAGATTTCTGGTGAGTTGACTTTTGATGGTTTTTCATTGTTATTTTTGTATGAAGTTGTGAAACATTTGTATGAAAGTTGTAGATAAGAGTTTGTTGAACATGAATTTGTGTTTGAAATTTGAGTTGAAGTTTTGGGTTGGAAATTGACAGCAGGTTTTGCTGCAAAGGTAAAGGGTTGGGCAGAAGTTGTCCACTCATCCACAACTGTGCATGTGTTTGTTTGGAGTGTTAATGGAAAGAATGTTTAAGGCTTGGACAGCAAGACTCAAGAAATGCAGATTGATGCACAAACTGTTTAGACAGTCATTCTTATTTACATGGCGAATTCTTTTCCTTGTGCAGCCATCTTAGATTGTTTATGATGACATCCAGGACAAGGAGTGGAACTAACACTTTTGTCTGAATGACCTGACTTTGAAGATGATTAGAAAGACACATTTCACTTAATGGGTTTGGTTAAATATGTTTTTTGCTCTACTTTATATCTCATAACATGTACCTTCCAAAATGTTTGTAGGCCATTAATGTTAATCTTGTTGATTATTTTAAAATTTATAATGATTTATGAGCCTTGAAAGTGGAAGATATAATCCTCCCAGATCTGAAGAAAATTATGTGCGTTGTCTATATTGCTTTAGGAAAAGGTTTTGTACTGTCTTAAATTGAAAGATTTTTTACAAGTCAGCAAGGATGAATCACTTGAACAGTGGTAAACAATGTTAAGTTAGAGCCCAATTATGGAAGGTTTAGCATGTTTAAACTGAGCATGAAAGTATTCACACAACATACTAAAGTCTGAACACTAGAAAAAGATGAATGTACTTATTTTTCCGTCAGTGTGACTATATTGGACGGTTCAGATCTTTCACTTACTTAACAATAACTATTGTCTTTTTATTCTAAAATAGCAATTTTGTGATTGGTTTATCCTACATTGTCCTGTCACAAATGCATGGATTATACTTTCCGTTTATCTTAGCAATTGGCTCAATGTTCAATACAACTCAGGGTCTTGATTAAACAGCAGGTGTAATAGAAGTGCGTGGGTTTATTCAATCTCCAGTCGTTCACCGCAAGCGTCCATCTTGACCGGTTGTTAACACCGATGCTTTTCAGAATTGAAAGATGCAGCTATGTGTTTTTAATGCCCACAATAGATGTAAACAAACGTACCTGACCGAACAAAGTAAAATGAACGTGACTCACTGTCAGGGATGTGTGTAAACAGACAACATTGTCAGACATTTCAATTAGCAAGTTTCACGGATATTGATGCCGTTGATTTTGTGTTTAACTGGAGGATTAGTTGTGGGTGTAGTATGTATTGTGTGAGTGAAAAGCTGTTGCCCTGAAAGATTCGGCAATAATTGATTTTGAAATCTATTCAACTTTCATGTACAATTTTGTAAAGTTCAATGGAATTTATTCGTCCTGATGGGAAAGATCGGAATTCGACTAAAGTAACTAGTGCATGTACTTCTACCTGCCGTCATATAGCTGGAATATTGCTGAGTGCAGCGTAAAACAACAAACCAACCTAGAGAACCAAAATTATAAGATCTGAAAAAATGTACTTCTGAATAATTATATTAATGAAGAAATTGTGTATTTTATTCAATGTATGATGTATGAATTTATTGCCATGATAACTGACTTTTCCTTTTTCTTTGAATTTCTTATCAGGGATTTTTATCTAGGCCTGCTTAGAGGCCGATATTTGGTCCCAAGTCTGAAACAAATGACAGGAATAATTCCTAATTTGAATTAAAAATTTCTTATTTCCTTGGAATTTACGAAAATATGAACACTACAAAAAATCCAATTTCGCACAAAATCCCTTGATTAGTTTGGTACCTTAGATAAATCCCTGCTCAGTACACAACATGCTACCAAAAAAGGGACACACATAAATATTTCCAAGTGCAGACATTTGGGGATGTTATTGACGTCTGCTCAAGATTGACAGCAATCAAACTTGATGAATCCTGTCAACTGCCAAGGCCACAGAGACATCCTGTGAAGCTCGCCAGCTGACCACAATTGGACATTATTACAAAACACAAGGAGCTGCATGGACACTGCGAGAACAATATGGCCATCTTTTGATTGACTATCCTGGGGATGGTCTTGGTGACAAGAGTGTACTTGTATGGATCTTCCCTTGAGCGGATCACTGGCTGAGGATTGTCTTTGGTATTGAGTCTATTGACTGACTTGGAGTATGTGCAGTTGTTGCTGTGGAAGTTTTGATGGTGTAAAGAGACTTTCCATCAAGTTGATTATGGATGCTATGGAGAGGTTTTGAAGTGTGTAATAGAGACTTTTGATTAATGGTGGGTTAAGATGAAAGGTATACTTTCATATGATTTTTAACGATTTTCTATTTTTATCTGTTGTTTCAGTGGCATGTGTTCAGATGTAGGGAGCAATTACATTGAGGATTTTCTACTCTGATAATCAGAAAAATGTAGGATTTTTTGGTCTTTGAAGATGGAACATTTTGAATTGTACATTAGAATTGAAAAATATAAACTGTATGGATTTGCAAAGGACAATGTTTAAAATGAAATAGTAATGGGGTCAAAGACATCATGGTCTTTTTGTGAAATGTTGAATTTTATGAATAAGCTAGCTCAATAGTTTAGTTGGATTCTCAGTTATGTCTGAATCTACACCTTGCAACATAAGATACTACAGCCATTCAATATGTATTTTTGCAGGATATCCTCTTTTCAGGATTTGAATATAGTTTTATTTTGATGGAAAGACAAAACCCTATGATAGTATCAGTCTGTTCCTGAGAGACATTTTTGGGTTTTGGGCATATGCTGTCCTACTATTTGTCATTTGAACTTCCATTGAAAGTCAAAGATTGTCTTTCATGACAGTTAGGTAAAACTAAAAGTTTTGTGTTTTGAAGCTTAGGAGAATGATTTTGAAGGAATACATGCCAAACATTTGACCATCTTACACCAGGAGATACAATGAACAAGTTGGATGCCAAACATTTGAGCATCTTATACCAGGAGGTACACTGAACAATTTGGATGCCGATCATTTGACCAATTTATACATATTATACCAGGAGGTACACTGAACAAGTTGGATGCTGAACATTTGACCATTTGATACCTGGAGATATTACTAAACATGTTGGATGCCAAACATTTGAGCATCTTATACCAGGAGCTTTATTGGCCATGTTGGATGCCGAACATTTGACCATCTGATACCTGGAGATATTACTAAACATGTTGGATGCCAAACATTTGAGCATCTTATACCAGGAGCTTCATTGGACATGTTGGATGCCGAACATTTGACAAATTTATACATATTATACCAGGAGGTACACTGAACAAGTTGGATGCCTAACATTTGCCCATCTGATACCTGGAGATACACTGAACATGTTGAATGCCAAACATTTGAGCATCTTATACCAGGAGCTTCATTGGACATGTTTGATGCCGAACATTTGAGCATCTTATACCAGGAGATACACTGAACATTTTGGATGCCAAACATTTGAGCATCTTATACCAGGAGCTTCATTGGACATGTTGGATGCCGAACATTTGAGCATCTTATACCAGGAGGTACACTGAACATTTTGGATGCCGAACATTTGACCATCTTATACCAGGAGCTTCATTGGACATGTTGGATGCCGAACATTTGAGCATCTTATTCCAGGAGGTACACTGAACATGTTAGATGCTGAACATTTCAGCATCTTATACCAGGAGCTTCATTGGACATGTTGGATGCCGAACATTTGAGCATCTTATACCAGGAAATACACTGAACAACTTGAATGCCGAACATTTGACCATCTTATACCAGGAGGTACACTGAACATGTTGGATGCCGAACATTTGAGCATCTTATACCAGGAGATACACTGAACAACTTGAATGCCCAACATTTGACCATCTTATACCAGGAGCTTCATTGGACATGTTGGATGCCGAACATTTGACCATCTTATTCTTATACCAGGAGGTACACTGAACATGTTGGATGCTGAACATTTCAGCATCTTATACCAGGAGGTACACTGAATGTGTTGGATGCTGAACATTTAACCATCTTATATCAGGAGGTACACTGAACATGTTGAATGCCAAACATTTGACCATCTTATACCAGGAGCTTCATTGGACATGTTGGATGCTGAACATTTCAGCATCTTATACCAGGAGGTACACTGAATGTGTTGGATGCTGAACATTTAACCATCTTATACCAGGAGGTACACTGAACATGTTGAATGCCAAACATTTGACCATCTTATACCAGGAGCTTCATTGGACATGTTGGATGCCGAACATTTGACCTTCTTATACCAGGAGATACACTGAACATGATGGATATATCATGTAACTTCACATTCAAATATATATATATGTGTATATATACAGGTTTGTTAATATATGATATATGAAGACTTACTCATATTAAAGAGATATTAGATTGGTTCAATGCACAAACAATCATCCTGGTATGTTGTGTGAACCGATGCTTATGAACACATCACATGTGACATCGTAGATCCATGACACAAGATGCACCATTTGTCTCGTGCAGGATTAGCAGGTAAAATTTTGAAATCATGTGCAGCATATCGTGACAGGAAAAAAGTCACTCTGTGGTAACACTTGTCTGATTGATAGTTTTGTCATTAATTGGTACACATTGGAAACATATCTTCTCTTATATAGTTAAGCAAACCATTATGGCTTTCTGAAGAAAGCAGCAATTGAAGTCTGTTATTTATCATCCAAAACTGGCTCCCACAGGAGATATCGCTTGGGTGAGATCAAGCGATATCTATACTGTAGATATCGCTGCAATGAAATTGCATCACAATGCTTTGCAGACCATTGTGACGTCATTGTTACCATGAGGTCACAATCAAATGACATCACTAATGGCTCTGCTACTGAAGCTGTTAGCAGTACTTTATTACTGTCTACAAACTGAAACAGTTGGAAGAATGATGTTGG